GAGAGAGAGAGAGAGAGAGAGAGAGAGAGAGAGAGGAGAGAGAGAGAGAGAGAGAGAGAGAGAGAGAGAGAGAGAGAGGAGAGAGAGAGAGAGAGAGAGAGAGAGAGAGAGAGAGAGAGAGAGAGAGAGAGAGAGAGAGAGAGAGAGAGAGAGAGAGAGAGAGAGAGAGAGAGAGAGAGAGAGAGAGAGAGAGAGAGAGAGAGAGAGAGAGAGAGAGAGAGAGAGAGAGAGAGAGAGAGAGAGAGAGAGAGAGAGAGAGAGAGAGAGAGAGAGAGAGAGAGAGAGAGAGAGAGAGAGAGAGAGAGAGAGAGAGAGAGAGAGAGAGAGAGAGAGAGGAGAGAGAGAGAGAGAGAGAGAGAGAGAGAGAGAGAGAGAGAGAGAGAGAGAGAGAGAGAGAGAGAGAGAGAGAGAGAGAGAGAGAGAGAGAGAGAGAGAGAGAGAGAGAGAGAGAGAGAGAGAGAGAGAGAGAGAGAGAGAGAGAGAGAGAGAGAGAGAGAGAGAGAGAGAGAGAGAGAGAGAGAGAGAGAGAGAGAGAGAGAGAGAGAGAGAGAGAAGAGAGAGAGAGAGAGAGAGATAGAGAGAGAGAGGGGGTGGTGGTGAGAGAAAGGAGGATAAGACTAATGAAGGAAAAGGAAAAGACTAACAGAGACTTCAGGGAGGACGGCAAGGAGACTGATGCCTACAGAGAGGAACAGTAGCGGCGGAACACCTTCAATTAAGGGGGGGGGGGGGCACTGCCGACTTTTGGTCCCACTCTTTCCATGCAACGCCCATAGGGCTAATGTTAAAATGGCAAAATCAAGGGGGGGGGGGGCACGGTGCCCCGGTGCCCTTCCCGTTCCGCCGCCTATGGCCGTGTACAGCTAATAAGTAATAACAGTCACCGTATATACAGCTGTATGTCACCGTATATAATAGTCATCATATATAACAGCCACAGTATATAACAGTACCATAAATAGTGGTCACCGCGGTAACAGTTACTGTACGATAGCTTTAACAGTCGCCGAATACAGCTATAACAGTCACGGTATACAGCTGTAATAATCACCATACATAGCAACAGTTATCGTGTTACAAGCAACGTATATAAAAGTCACTATATGTACACACACTGTCACCGTATACAACAGTCACCGTATACAGCTGTTAAAGTAGGTCACCTTACGGCTGCAACAGTCACCGTTTACGACATAATAGTCACTGTATTCAGCTGTAAGAGCTACCGTACCTATCATACAGCCATTACAGTCACCTATTACGACTACAAAAGTCATCTTTACAACTATAACAGTCACCGTATGCGGCTATAACAGTCACTGTATACAGCTGTAATAATCACCATACCGTACATAGCAACAGTTATCGTGTTACAAGCAACGTATATAAAAGTCACTATACGCACACTGTCACCGTATACAACAGTCACCGTATACAGCTGTTAAAGTTAGTCACCTTACGGCTGCAACAGTCAACGTTTACGGCGTAATAGTCACTGTATTCAGCTGTAACAGTTATCGTTCCTATAATGCAGCCATAACAGTCACCTATTACGACTATAAAAGTCACCGTATGCAGCTATAACAGTCACCGTATGCAGCTATAATAGTCACCCTCACAGCTAATATAGTCACCTTCACAGGTACAACAGTCGCCACACGCAGTTCCGGGTCTCAGGTGAGCGTCCGGTGCGCGGCGGCGGCGCAGTTGTTTCGACACCGCGGACCGGCCGTCGGACGGGCTGCCGGACGTCGCTCCTGTGAACAACACAGTGACCGTCCCACAGGGCCACACAGTGACCGGTGTGGCCTGGTGGCTGCGGCGACCGGCCGCGGCGGGCGGGAGAGGAACAGCGGACGGGATGGGTTCCACCAGCCGTTCGACATGCTTGTTGCATGGTCAGGCGAGCGGGGAATTCACCCCTTCTCTCCTTTCGCAACCTTGGTGATCACTGCATTCAACTCGCTCTCTAGCCGGAACAGCGATTTTGCATTTTGGTTAATTTAAATTGGCGTATAAAAGTACATCGATGAAGAAATTGCTAAACCCTTCGGCGACTAAATACTGACAGAAATCAATAAATAAACGCACATGGGGGGGGGGGGGAGGTGAGGCAATGCTATTGCAACGATGCAAGCGTGGTTGTATTTATTACAATCGAAGTGGCTGTCGATTTTGCAAACCTACAGGATCTGCTAAGAAGGTGAATATCGAACTATAATAATGCACTATCTGAGGTGTCTGACTGGGCAGCACGCAGAGGCCGCCTCTTGAGGTAGTAAAGTCCACGCCGTTCCGGCGACGCAGTGACTATGAGTGTCAATAAAGCCGTTCACGGCGGGTCAGAGTGACTTGCTGGAAGTCTGCGGTAACTAAACATCCCCGAATTGTGCAAACGGTTTAGGAGTTCGAGGCTATAGATGTGGCAGTCAATCGGAAACTCCAAATCATGCATATACGGTAGAATGCAGTTGTTCTCATTTACTTTCGTCCCTAGCGATTCTTGTTTAATATAGGTAAATTAACCCTCGCCCGTATTGGTGCTTTATCAGCCGCGAACGTATAGGACGGTGGGGGCCGTTAGACCCTCCTTGGCGTTGAGCCCCTGATCAAGCTAGAACAAACGAGAGTGTTGTCCGTGACGAGAGGAAGCCGATTATACCCAATCTTAAGATCCTAGGTCATTGGTTGACCTTCCAGGTCAGGCCAATGACCCAAAGTCAAGAAAATCGGGACCTGTCAGAACTTAGTAAAGTGAGGCTGTTATTTTTTTATCGGGGTGCTGATCACTAATTTCATGAGTTTTGATCACAGATGATGTCTTCATGCATTTAGGCCAGGTCGGGTCAGGTCAGGTCAGGTCAACCGGTGGCGGTCCTGCCTGGTATTCATAGTAGGTGTCAACCACCACTAACAGCTTCGTAACACGTTAGGAAGGCACCAAAACTTATTCCTAAATATTCAAATGGTTGCTAAATTCGAAATCAGCTCCAGAAACTAGCCTGGAACATGTAAACCTCGAAAAAGTGAGGCGAGGTCATCAAAGGTCAATGAACAGAACTGATGTTCACGTAACCTTGACACCCACCATAACCCTCGCCCCGCTGGGCTATTCAGCCATACGTGCCCTGCTGGGGGGGGGGGGGCAGATTCTGCCCCCCCCTGTCATAACTTCCGAACCGATGGTCGTAGAAAGACGGGAAAAACGGCAATCGAAAGCTCTCAACGAGGCGGATCTTAAGAGCTTTTCTTTTTTGCTTAAGTAGGTCAGGGGTCAGGTCAAGGTCAGGTCAAGGGTACAAAATGCAAGTTTCTACAGTATCGATCTTGCACCGTAGTTGCCGAAGAATGGACTGAGACTGATTGCCCAAAACGTGTTCTTAGGCTACCAAGACAAGATTCGTTACATAACAATGTCATGCAAAGGTCTAGGTCAAGGTCAGGTCAGGTCACCAAAAACGAAATATAGAAAAGGGCATGTGTGACACATGTTTTATGGGTCATTTTATTTATAGAATTCAATGGGCACACTCAATTAGTGATATGGACCACACCTGGATGAATTTCAGGTCGAGGCCAGGGCAAGGTCAGCAGGGGCGCAGCTTAGGTCAGGTCAATTGAGGTCAAATTTTGAAGTTGATTGTTATGACGTAATAAGGTGTCTATCGGATGCAGTTTTTCACGGCGAATCTAATGGTGCTATTTTTGTTTCCGTACGAGGTCTAGAACTTCCAAAAAATCATTTTTTTCTAAAATTGTGTGTCGTGAATAACTCCCACATTTTGAACCGAATTTTCTAAAAATTGATATGTAAGTGCACATATACCACTTCTCTAACATGTATTCCGGATTTTCCGAAAAGCTCAAAACTTTAAATTCCATAATGATTTTCTCCATAAGGTCAGTTTTTTAAGTTGGGACAAAATCCAAAATTTTCATAAAACCGAGAGAGCCATTTGATAGAAAAAGTAGAATCACGTATAGCCTTTTTTGTTGCGTCTTGATTCCTTCAAAAAGGAAGATGTAAGAGGCGTTTGAAATTTTGCCGTTTTTGAGGCGAAAATGGCGAACATGACGTCACCAAAACCGTCATTTTCTCAATTTTTTTCCGACGGATTTCGCTCAAATTTTCAGGGAACGTGTCAAATTGATGTATGATAAGCTACTCAAAGTTTGACGTCGCTGGCGTAACGCGCTTAGAAGTTATTGGCGAAAAACTGTAGGGGCAGATTCCCCTCTCCCCCCAGCGGGGCGCTGGTTATAAGGCATGGGACCAACCTCCTTTCACATGTTTTAACGTTTGAATTTTGAATTTTTGAAACCACAAAAAGACACGCGGATAATGTAAGCCGACATGCGATGATACGCCGAATCACGATTGTGGCCAAACATGGTCTTGAGAAATAGGTCACAGGTCAAAGGTCATTTGGTTCAGGGTCATGCCAATTTTAGAGTATGTACCTATTAAAGTGGTTAACTTGAGGGCGCTGAAAGTTTCGCCGCGATCTGTCCCTTTTAGCGCGAGTTATTCGCGAAAAACCGAGGGGCTGGGGGGAGGGCGTTCGACCCCGTAATTGCGATGGTTAAATTGAAATAAAGTGGATAAAACATTTGTTCAGCACTCCGTTACCTGTGTATGGATCAAGGTCCTAAGCTCGAACTCGATCAGCTAAAATGGGCCAGTTGACCTGAGAGGCGCCACCCTCGTCACAGATATGACGAGGGCCCCATCAGAGCAGGCCGTAGCATCCTGCAGTGGAGGCTTGACACGAACAGCTGCCAAGCGGTGGCCTTCTGCCGTTGGTGACTGTCAGCCCAGGTTTGCCTAAGCGAAATTGATATTCTGTATTCGGATGAGTTACGTGTATCGCCTAATTCTGACCAATTCTGTTTTGTAAGTGCATGCTCAACCACTTCAACCCGAGCCAGCGTAATTCCCAGCGCTCCAGTCTGTCACTGCATTCATTTCCACCCTTTCATCAACGATTCAAACAGTCTGCTGTGAAGAAACGTATATTTCTGTTTCAGATACTCTCTACCTGACTGTGACGACTTCACCCGCGTACGATGACTGCTTACAAGGACAGCTAAGCGTGTCGAACAGGGCGCCGCTGACTATATGTCATATAACATACGAACGCAGCGGCTAAAGGGAGCGCGGCACTCTGAACACGATTGCACAGTGCGCTCTGGGCTGGTGACCGCTCTGGGCCGGACAACTCTTTGTTCCCGAGGCTTGTTCCTCAGCAGCGGCACTGGCTGCTCCCAGGCCGAGCGACAGGCCGCCAACGGCGGCTATAAACGAACACATGACGCGCGAGTTATGCGATGAGTGACACAGGTGACGGTACCCGGTCGGTACCTCCCCACCCCTCCCCAGAGACAGATACAGAACGACAAGTAGAGCTGCCACAGTATGTCCTCGGACGAACCACAGCTGGACACAGTCTGTCCGCGGACAGTCTTTGGTCTGGTCAGGCCGCGGGCCGGCGCCGCCGCCTCAGCGCTCAGCACGAGCTGCTCTTGTAGTCAGAGGTGTCCGAGATGGGCACCAGAGCCGAGCCGCCGGGGCCGGCCGGGGGCGGCTGCTGCCTGCGACACACGGACACACAGACACGGTCAGAGGACGGACTCACGACACGGGGGATCACATCTCATCTCGGCGTCCGGTGCCGAGCAGACCCGTCACGACATTCCAGGACACTATCGTCAGTGATACACAGACAACAACTCGAGACTAAACACGGCGCCGGATTTAGACGACATTACGTCAACAGACGCCGCCGTCCCAGTCCCGGCGATACCCCGCCGGTACCCCTACCGGACGCTGCCCGGTCCCCGCTCCGTCTGACTGGCGCCAAGACTACACAGAGATCCCGTCCACCAGGCCTCCACCGGGCCTCCACCGGGCAGCTCAGATCAGATTCCGTCCGATCGCACCCACGGCCACGACACACATCCCACCTTCCCGGTAAACACTTCCCGTCACTCACGGTGGTCGCAGCGAGGCCAGCAGCGAGTGTAACTGAGAGTTGGCCGCGTTCAGCTCCTGGATGCGCGAGTTCTGAGCCTCAATGACACGCTCCTTTTCTGATAGCACGCTGGTCAGCTGACTCTGCTCTCGGCGCAGCTCGTGCTCCACCAGCGATAACCTGTCGGGGTCACAGGGGGTCAGCTGAGGTCGCCGGGGCGGGTCAGGTTAAGGTAGGATCAGTGGGGTCAGCGGAGCAGTCAGGGGAGTAGTCAGGAGCCAGGACGCAGCCCTGTCATCGCCTGTCGGTGCCAACAAGGACGATCACCCGATACGAGATGAGGGGTGTTAAGTGACGCAATCTAAGATCGCGCGGGGCCAGTTAAGTGATAGGATGAGGTAAGACGAGGTCACGTGGCGTTCATGATAGAGCCAAGCTGAGGTGGGAAGGGTAAACATGCAGTCAGAGGGGCTCGGGTGCAACAAAGGGGCGCGGCCAGTTGTGGGGAGGACTCGTGCACCGGAGTGCAACTAACCACACGGGTCGCAGAGTTCAACACAAACGAGGCCCTGGTCTTGCCACTAATGGGGGGCAATGACCTGACGCAGGACGTTCTATGAAAGCTGCTCATGTGCTAACGATTCCACCAGCAGCGCCAGTGATGTTTGTTTAGTAGATGCACCCTAATGAATGAGACCACTTCTCATTTAGTTGCCCTGGCATCCTCATACGAGTACAGCGATGTCTCGACACACAGCTGTGCCGTCGAGGGTTGATCCACGCAGCTCAGCACCATACAATCCGGTCCGGTCGGAAACACTCTCCGACAGCGAGACGACACTGACCGCCATCTCTCGCCCGGAATTATGCAATGAGATCTCCGCTCACCACTTTATCTTGGCCCAGTCGGGTCTGATACAGCCCCAGATGGCCGCCCACGGTCCGACGCATACTAACAATGGGGAAATTCGGCCTCTCCAAATCCCTCAATGGGAGCGGCGGGAGCGGCGCCCTTCAGAGGCTGGCGCGCGCGACTAGATCGCCACATCTGGCGGATTTCGGCCGACGACAAAGGGTTTCCCCGGCGTTTTTATGTGCTGACCGTGTGTCCACTGACCGCAGACAGGTATCTGATGAGGAGGGGGGGGGGGGGGGGCAGAGACTCGCAGTCGGCCCGACCGAGCCTGCTGACCGGTGGGGACGGGGTAGGCCCGGGTGGAGACAGGACGGGCTGACGACGGGTGGTCCGTCTCACACCGGTAGGCTCGGGTATCAGGACGGACACACCGCTGGGAACAGACCGTGCTTGGTGCCGCTCTGGTCGTGGCGGAACCGCCGGGATATCTGCTCTGTCTCAGACGAGTGGCGCCAGTGTGATACCGCTTCAGATGCACCAGGAACTATATTACGTCAGCGGCAGCGTCCTGTTGTTTAAACAAGTTTCATTGTCGGAACCACAAGGAGAGGATCACGAAGGGTTATATCATGACACCATGAAACTATGTGATATCGCCTGGAGCCCCGAGAAGTGTGACGGCCGTTATTGTCTGTCAGATCGTGGATTAGCTAGTAATCCTACTGGGATTACTCGTATGAATGAATAACTTTGTCCTTGGCCAGGTAACTGACGACCAGAGATGGCAGTGTGGCACGCATTCTATCCTTTCAATCACCTAGTTCTGCGTATCTACCGGTTCCGGCATCGGTATTGGTTTCGAGGTTGAACTGACCTGTGCAGTATCTCGTTGATTTGTACTGGGGTCGGCTGGCAGACGTGGTTGGTCGGTGTGACCGCCGGCCGCGGCAGCTCCTCACTCAGACGGCTGTGCAGCTGCTCCATCTGCACGTGCAGCTGACGGATCTCCTCCTCGTACTGGCGATGAGGGAGATAGAGACGATTAGGTAACGATCGAAGGCATAAACGCATATTGCAAGCTGTCGATCCATAACTCAACGGCAGGTTGACAGGCCCAAGAATAGGGCCACTGAATACAAGCACAGGCTAATTCAAGCGACAGAGGCTTCCCTGAAGACTATATGACCTTCATCTCTGAAGAAACTTCTGCTTACCTCTTCGAAGGACTTCTCTGGCAGCCGGCCGCGCCTGGCCTTGCCCTTGAGTCGGCTGTCGCGGCCGGTGCGCAGTCCATCGCTGCTCTCGCTGTCGCTGTCACCGTGCTGCTGCTGCCGCCTGGTGGCCAGCACGTCAGCTGAGGTTCGCCGGCCGGCCTTGAGGCGGCGCTGGCGGCCGTACAGCTCCTCGGCTCCGGCCGGCGGCGGCGGCGGAGGCGGCACGGCACGCGGGTTAGTTCGTGGCGCGGCCGGGTGGCGGCGCTCACGCGGCGGTGAAGGCGAGCTGCTAGAGGAGCGCGGCGGCGCGCGGCCGGCCGGGGCGGCCACCGACGGCGCCAGCACCAGCTGAACGTCCTCCAGACTCTGGGCCGAGCTGAGCGAGGTGCTCGGCGAGTAGGGCGACGGCCTGTGGACAGCACGGTACGGAGGTTAGTCAGGGAGAGGGGGGTAACAGATTAACAGCACACGGCAGCCCGACATCCGCCCCATACGCTGAACAGGCGATACTCAGGGCGGCGCACAGCCAACGTATGCTGTCGCCAGAGTCCCTGAGGGCTGCAGGGACTAGCTGTGTGACACGTTTATCCTGGCAGAACGCCCACAGAGCAGGTGGTGAACATCAGGGCCCTGGTATAACCACAGCCACTACCAGACAGTGATTTATCGATCCACGCTATCCAAACAAGCACCCGTACACAGACGGCCCGGCCCGTCTGCCTGAGAGGGACACTCACCGTGTCTGGCGCGTCCTGTTGCTGCTGAGCTGGTACACGGGGTTGTTGAAGGCCAGCGGCGTCGGCTGCTGGCCGGCCGACTGCTGCTGCTGTTGGTGACTGATGGCCGGGTCCACCGGACTCGAGCTCTGGCTGTAAGCGAAGCTCTGGTAACCGCTGGAGGCCACGTTGCTCAGCTGGGAGATGGAGATCTGCGAGCCCTTGACGTTGTGCTCCAGCTCTGTGGCCGAGTGCTCTGCGGTGTCGTCGTCGGCTCGCGGCGCCCTGCGCGGCCCGGTACCGGCTGATGTGTACGCCGCCAGCGCCGGGTGGCCGTGATAGTGCTGGTGGGGGCCGGCGGCGCCCGTCCGGCCCGGCCGCAGCGCGCTGAACAGCACGTAGTCGTCGCTGGTGTTGAGGTGCGCCGCTGGCCGCTTGGAGGAGCCGCCGGCCGGCAGGTAGGCGTTCCTGGGTAGTGTGGAGGCCTTCTCAGCCGGCGGAGGGACGGTGGGGGCGGCAGAGGGCGCGGTAGGTCCGTCAGAGTCCGCCACCGGGGACGCCGCGTCCCGCTCCGAGGAGGCGCGCTCGTTCAGCCTGCGGAGAGAAACGGCGACCGTCAGAAATGAGGTGCGCAAACCGAGTGGAGGGCTACAAAAAACATTACATCGCCATCAAGTGAACCAGAGAAACGAAGTTAAAGGCTAAAACTGATAGCTCAAGGGGCGAGGTTGAGCATGTCAATGGGAGACAATATTTCAACGCACAAATCGTGTGAATAAATCACTCACCTGTACATGTTCCTCTGTAGGCTGAGATAGTTGGGCGGCGGCGCCACTGCGGCCGAGGGCGGCGGCGGGGGCTGCTGCTGTGACTGCTGCTGCTGTTGCTGCGCCTGCTGCTGCTGACTGTGCGCCGCCGTCACCGTGGCCAGTGCCGCCTCCAGTCGCTGCCGCTCGGCCAGGTGCGCCGGGCTGGTTACCTTGGGCGCACACTCGCGCAGCAGACTGTGCAGCACCGATAGCTGCTTGCCCAGGTCCACGTAGCCGTCCCACTCCTGCTGACGGCCATCGCGGCCCAGAGGACTCTGTGGAGGAGAAGAGAAGAGGACGATCAGTCAGAGGCCGGCGACACGGTCTGTGGGTGTACTAAAGGACTGGTGAATCCTCTCACAGACGCATCACAACTCAATGTCCGAGATTGGGTGTATCATGTCGGCTTCCAACAACCACAATTGCGAGACACTATTCACGCTACACTTTGGAGTATCCAAAGTGTCACAAATTTATGCAAAGTGGACGGGGAAAACCAGTAGTTCTACTCTGAAAGACAATGCCGTTTTTCAATCTTGAATAGTTATTCCCCGCAATAATCCAGCATCACGCACTTGGGTAGAATATCCAATACCACAGCGTGTATTCCCAGGGTAGCCTAACGCAGTCACGTCACGGCCCGGTCTCATCAGTCAGTGGGAGGTAAACATATACACTACCCTTTCAGCAGAGGCCAGATTAACCGGCCACGTGCCGGGGCGGACGACACATGAGAAGGTCGCATGGTAATGTGTCGTCTCATAGCGCTGGAATGGTGGCGGCGGGGCTGCCGATGGCCGGCAATATATAGGCACGATATATCGAGACCCAATCAGTGACTGCGACTGTCGTTGGCAGGCTGCGTACGCGGCCCATCCGGCTGCCGAGGACAGGACAGGCAGTTGGCGACCTCGGTAAACGGTCGATGACAGCGGGGAAGTGTCGGACACCTCTGTGACAGCCGGACCAGCGCAGCGGCATCATCTACTGCGCTGCGGAAAAGGTCTTACCGATATTTTGCGCAGGAAGGCGCGCATGGTGTTGGTTTCCTTGACGACGAACTCGTTGAGGAACTCCATGTAGTTCTCTTTGCCCTGGAACTGGGTGAAGTTGGCCAGCGTCTGCAGCGTCTTGGCCACCAGGGTCAGATTCCGCACCGCCTTCTCGTTAGGGTACTCTGTGGGAGAGAGGAGAGGAGTGAGATAGAGCAAAGGGAGGGACTCTCTTGTCATGGCGTCATCCAACAGATGGGCTTTCAATGCAGACCCCGTCAAATGCTGTGTCATCTATACGCTGTGCGACATACTCCGCCGTTGGGCCACCTCCACACCACACCACTTATGAGGGAGTCGAAACGCCCACACGACAAACCACCAATCTCAGCTAATTAATGCTGATCAGCTGAATACATAGATGTGACGTGGTGAATCATCGCTGCGAAAAATGTGCGCCACAACTTGAGTCCCTGCCACTCCCACATCAAGCCTAAAACCTGACGTCGATTAGAGCACTAGAGCAGCTGCCCTGCTATTGTTACAGAGGTATATGTTCCTTCTCCCTTGCTCAAGGCGTTCACACTGTGTCTGCAGTGTTAGACCCAGAGGCCGTGACCCACCCATGTGCCATCCTCCACTCATCACCCGACCGTGTCGTTTGGCTGCCAGCCACTCACCCTGGGTCAGACTGAACAGACTCGGGCTGAGGATGGCCGGCCACTCACCCTGGGTCAGGCTGAACAGGCTCGGGCTCAGGATGGCCGGGCAGAAGAAGCGCAGGAAGATGCACGACGAGATGACGTTGTCCTGCTGCTCGGCCTTGCCCGCCTCCCTCAGCCGCTCGCAGATCAGGTGGAAACAGTCGCGCAGCTCCCTGTCAAGCGGCACAGGGGTCGGTCACAGCACGTCATACATAATGTTGATCAGAAATAACTCAGGATAAGACCACGAGATCAACGCAAGCAGAAAATATGACACACCAAGGAACCTTTTTTAGGACAGGGAAAACAAACGACATGAATGATTAACAACAGCCATAAACATCCAAAGCCCCGACCGAATTAACTAAAAACCATGTCACCAAAGGACACATAGCTCCACATCTCGCCCTCGGCGTCTGGCTACTCACGGTGGGAAGTTGGCGTACGAGGCGAGGATGCTGGCCCACACCTCCTCGACAAAGGCCCGCAGGTTGGTCCTCTGCTTGTGCAGCGCTCCGGGCGCCGTCACTTTGAGCGGGTCGATCTCGAGGTCGGAGCGGGCGTCCAGCAGGCGGCGCACCGGCTCGCCGAGCGTGTCCTGCAGGTAGCGGTCGCCCACCAGCTTCATGAACGACTCCGTGGCCTTGGTGGCCAGCGAGTTGCCGCGGAACGTCAGCCGCTCGTCGTCTGTAAGAGAAGGAGAGGAGGGGTCAGTGATACGGTCCGAGGGATATGAGAGTGTGAGGGACACCGGTACCAGCCTGTGCAGGCAAACAGATTTGTCAGCGCTTCTGTGTCTTAGCAACGCCTCTATCACCGTTTTCCTCCTTTTTTCTACTGGCCTGTCTGCATTCTTTTCTTTTCTTCCTGTCGTTCTCTATTGCATTACTAATTCATGAGACCCTCGTCCCTCTCATGTGATTACTGCCTGCCTGCTTCCCTCCCCTACCTCCACAATCCACACCTCTCCGTCCCTCTCTCCCTTCCTCACCAATTCTTGTGACGTCCATGCAGACCAGGTCGGCCAGCAGGTGTTTGGCCAGGCCCTCCCTCTGCATGATGTGCACCAGTGTGGTGGCAATGTCCTCCTTGCTCTTCACGCCCACCAGCGGCTCGAGGATCTCACAGAGCGGTCCGTACCGGGAGGTGACGTAGTGGAGGAACTCGCTGTACACGGGCAGCGGCAGGATGTCCACCGCCTGGAACCTGCGGAAGGGAGCGGGGGAGGTCAGAACTACTAAATACCACACACGCAGGCAGACATTGTACCTATGTACTTATCCGAGAGGGGAGGGCTGAATAGTGAATACCTACCTACCCAGCATAGAGACAGGAAGGCAGGGCACTGTGGCACACCTGAGCGGATAGAAAGGCAGGAAGTCACTGCGCACGCGATGTTTGATGGATAGTGTGGACAAAACAGCAAACAGGAAATTAGTTCTAGTTTTGTACCGGAGAGATTTAGGCTGTTACAGTGTTTATACACACGTCGGTGCCTGAGCTTCGACATTAATCTGTTGTTTGTTTGATGGCAAAGCCGGCATATGTGCATCGATACCCGTTAGACGTTCCGGCTAGACGCCTAATTAGCGAGCGATGAAAATGTCCGATTGAGCCGCACACGGTATAAACGGTAGCGCCAGGGCCAGGGGCGCGTGGGATGCTCGAAGGAATCCACCCAACCGAGGTGCACAGGAAACAAAACGATTTAAACACGTAACAAGTAGCGAGAACCGGCCAACACACAGGAAATAAGCGATACTTCGTGACAGATCCATACGCGATAAGCAGATTTGCTATGTAGACGCCCGGTAACACACCACAACACAGAAGTTTAACTGCAGAAACACGGCGCGGTGCGACTGAGGTCTAAATGCACCCCAAAGAGAGCCGGTCGCCGGCAGCCTGCCCCAGCGAGCGGTTCCCACACGGGTTCCCGGTGACGCGAGGGCGGTTCCTGGAGCCCAGATAATGTCTCGAGAACAGCCGGTCACCACTGGTCCACTGGGCCAGCGATCTCACACGACATCAGCTGCGAGTGGCGCGTCACACGGTCTGCAGCTGGGCTGTATCACGGTCGGAAAACGAGCGTTTGCCGCGCATTGTCTGGGAGGCCAGGCTCGCAGATGTGGGCCGACGCCATTCTCAGAGAGCAGCGAAGCTCGGTTCTGTTGTCCTAGCACCCCTCCCCTCGAGCGGGTGAACATGTGGCCTCGGTGACGGTCGCAGCCCGGTTCGGTGGATTCTGTTGAACCACCCACAGTCCTGACGATACCTGGGTCGGTCACCGCCTCTGCCACAAATCACTGCCAGTGTCGCTTCACGGCACGACAGCCACCGCTGGGCACACGGCACAGTGGGCAGAACAGGAGCCACCGACCCACCGAAATCGCCGCCAGCCCGCATACCTCCGCCCCGAAGATGCGCTGATTTATGGGACTAGAGATCTAAAGTAGAGGCCACATGCAACTGGTTCCGAGTACGCCAGTAAGCCCTGCACCAATAGTCGGAACAGGCAGCGGCGCGCGGTGGTGTGTCCGTGAGCCAGTGACTATCGGGCCGGGTTTATCGGAGCACGGGACCTTCGCCGTGTCGTGTACCCTTCGCCGCCCGACGCTAATGCACCTTGTTCGTCACAGTCGCCGCAGCGAGACACGCAAACGCCAAACACGACCGTGTGTGCCACCGTGGCACGCTCCTATCGGCAGCAGCGCTTGTAGCACCATGTTCAGCTGCCGATAGTTGACGGACATTAGGCCATAAACGCTCACCGGACACGGTTCTGATAAACATCACACACAAAAGGCCAGTGGACACGCGAGGGACTCAATCCACAATAGCAGAGGCAGGATAACGTCAGTCTCACGACTCGAGCTGTGACAATGATATACGGAAGGTGTGACGATGACATCACCTATCCTCCTCCGCATACTCAGACGGCCAGGAAACCCTCCCTTCCCTGCCCGCCTCATCCCTCCCCACGGGAGGAAGTTGTAACGCCGGCCACGCCGGCACCTACCTGCACTTGATTCGCAGACTGGGCGCGTGCTTGTTGCTGGTGCCCTTCTCCAACGCCACCGGGTACCACTTCTCGACGAAAAACTTCGAGTTGACCGAGCTGACCGGTATCTCGACTGTACCTGGAACAGACGAACAGACAGAGCGCGTGTAAGAGCAGACAACACGTGTGAAGGCGATACAGAAACACTGCAGTGTGGGTGCCGATACAGAGTTCCCGAAACACGTCGTTTGCTGGCTTGTCTTGACAGCTGCTGGCGTAAGACTGGTCAAAAGTTGCGCGAATGATGATAACAAGCTTATGTCATCAAGAGACAATTAATCATCTTATCGCTGCAATTTTTCAGCAGCGGACCACAGGTAAAAAAGCAGTGACCCGGATCTGTATCCGCCCTTCGGAGGTCAGGTCGACGAGCGCCTTTATAGGACCGCTGATAAGCCCCAGCCCTGCGGACCTCTGTTCCGATCTGGTCTCCGGCAGCACTCTGGGACCAGGTGTGGGACGGGGGCGGGTTCCATCCGCCACCAGCTGGGCGGCGTCTGATCTGTCACCTGATAATCCGTCACCGGGCTGACGGCCGTCCGTCCGACGGCGGCAGCTCGGCGGGGAGAGCCAGGCAGCGCGACAGGTGGTCGGGTTACGGACCGACAGGGTGGTGACCCGACCCGGTCAGAGACCCAAGCTGAGGTGGTCGGAGGCGTGGGAGCCCGTCGTGCTCCACGACCACATGTTACATAAACATAACTGCAGGCTAAAAAGATATTCTTCCGTATCTGCTCGTAGCTGTGTCCAATCCTGCTCCAACCCCGCCCGGGCGGGTCATCGACCGTCCCTCCCCTCCCCAACAGGGCGACCACCTGCCGGTACCCCGCCGCTACGGTCAACACGCATCGAACCAGCCGTCGGCCAACACAAGCAGCTCCGGCAGCGGCGGCGATCACAGAAACTCCGTACAAACACAGTCAGCACGCGCGCCCTCCCCGTCCCCTCCGCGTGTCCGTCAGCGCCACCCCGTCCGGAGACGTTCAACTTACCGACTAGCACGTTCTTGTCCTTCTTCCTCTTCTTGTCGGGCTCTCGGTAGAGGTTGACCTGGATGCTCTCCACGGTCGGCAGGTTGTTGAACTCGAACTGCTCGCCCCAGAAGCACAGCTCCGTCTTGGCCTTGCTGGACGTCCGGGCGTAGAGGGTGTTGTCCAGACACAGCTCGCAGAAGTAGCGCTTCTTGGCGGTGACCGTCTTGGCCTCGAGCAGCCAGATGCGCAGTGAGTTGTCGATGCGGCGTATGTGCTCCCGGTTTGGCTGCACTGTGCGGCGCAGGCTGTGAGACGTATAGAGATACATACACGTCAGTCGATTTATTATCAGCGAAAGCTCAGGCGGAGTTACGATGACCTATAGACGTCGTAAACGGAGGCCTATAGAATAACCATTGAATACTTTGAACGTTTTTGGAGTTGAGGCAATGCCATATGCAAATGACATATATTACAACGTCAGATACGCAATGAGGAAAATGAGCAGTGCTATGCATCAGACGCATTGGTGCTGCATCACTCGTAGTTTTGCAGTAGGTACTCGGCCCAGGCATTACTGGTCTTTAGGTCATCGAGTATTGATGATATCGTCAAACAATTGACACATACACCTACTAATATGTCCCTGTCCCAACATCAGATTAGCCGTGCAAAGTTTGGACAGCGGGCGATCAGTTATGACGCCGATACTTCAGAAATCGGGCGCTCGACGGTCATACCTGACGTGCCAATGCAGGGAAACAAGACAAGCAATGACAGATAAAATGCGCGGCCCACGGGACTGGCCGCTATATCGAAGGCGCGCGCAGCGCCCGACCGAGCTACGGCACAGGGCAGGGAGTACGCCGAAGAGCGGCCGACCGATTTGGTCAGTGATTATTCCCACTGAACAGAGTGACCGCTCAATTGACAAGTGACACGTGCAGGTAGATGGAGGGACCGGACCCGGGAGAGCGAGAAGCCCTGATGACCCGTCGGGTGTGACTGGGTCGGGCTGAGACGGGGGCGGGGGCGGTGGCCGCCGGCCGGGGTAGGGGCGGGGGCGGGGGCGGAGGCTAGCCGCGGTCGATCCCAGGAAACCTCACCGGCCAAAGAATACACTGACCACAGCCACCGCTAAGCGGCTTACTGGGCCGCCAGACACTCGTCCACCGGCTAAAAACGCGCTCTGTTGTCCGTCAACAACGAGTGAAAGGAATTCGGTCGAACGGCCGCCCGTTCGTCGGTGACATGTACCGGGAATGCGCTCCTGTGAGGGTGCGGATCCAGCGGGCGCACAATGCCGCCGCAGGGACGACACCTAACGGGGCCGCGCCGCCGGAGAGTTCGGGGAACGCCCGGCGGTGCGGTACACTGAGAGACTGCGCCACGGGGCGGTGTCACAACATGTGCAGGATGGTGGATGGAGCTGGTCCCCAGCCGGCCGGCACTGACGGAGCCGGTGTGTCGAAACTGGTCCCGATGTGCAGGCATGCCTCGGTCTGAATAGACGTCAACAGATGATCAACATTCACCGACCGTGCTCCGCATGTGAAATGACGCTAAACTGCAATGTCACATTGCGTTAGCACAGAGCTCGCCGCACAATACAATGCAGCCACATCAAGACTAAAGTAGACGTACTCGTTTCTTCGCAATCCGCGGCTCACAGGCAGACATTATCCCATTACCTTCCACGTCATCCACACGGACAAAAACTCTGTAACCAGACTGCCAGCCACTCCACCGCCGAGGAAAACCAGCCCTCTATCTGGGTCCAGGTGAAGTGGCGGCCGGGTCTTGTAATTCATGTAAATCCCTAAGAGGCGGCGGGAGCGCGACTCACTCCCAGGTGAGTCGACCTGGATCAGCACGGCCGGTTCACCCACATCTCTGTTCATCCGCTCGGCGCACTGCCACAGGAAATCGGAGAGGGCGGACTGCCTCAGGAAACCGAAGAGCAGTCAGCAGCGTACCAGGACAGACGCAGTGAGCTGATTCTCACCAGTCCCCGCTCTCATATTTCACGACACAGGTAGGTAAACCAGTGACCGATGTCTGCCAGTGCAGTAGCTGACAAATTCAAAGAGCTACTGACTGATTGCACCGATGCTGAAGCCTTGAAGCTTCACCTGACAGGAAATGTATGTGAATGTTCCTTTGCATTGACGATTCGGAGAGTCGACGGCTACCCAGAAACGCTGCCCTGGTATCGGGTTTATTGGCGACTGTCTCTGGGAAACTCCGCGCCTCTGCAGAGGTCACAGACAGCAGCGCAGCTCAACAAACACGGCGCCGGGCACCTGCAGGGAGCCGTTATACGACACAAACATTTACCGCCGGACATCCGGTCGGTACGGCCCGGCGCCGACTCCACCGGCCAAAGGTAAACGCCGCGGAGAGCTGTTTGGTCTGAGATCGGCCGCAGCCGTCCGCCGTCCGCGATCGGACCGCCGTGACCCGGTGGTGCCGGAGACGGCCTCCAGGTGCCGTCGGTCGCGACCATAAACACACAGGCAACGTAGCGCCGGCGCCGACCGGCCTTGGTATAAAACACTGCTTTGCATACCGCAGCGGGTGCTGGCGGACACTGGACCGGGCGGCTGGCGGACCTCCGGTCCAGGCCTCCGGTCCAGACGCCCCCTCCCGGGAGTCGCCGGGGTCTGGATGGTATCACAGACCTCTGCATCCGCCCGGCTGTCAGTGAATGTCTCCCCGAACGGCTGTAGAACTGACGCCGTATCACCACAGAACGCAGCGCTGGAATGTGTGCTGCGATAGAGCTATCGTGATGAGTTCCAAAGGCGACCCATGGTCTGGACCACCCCGTGGTCACCAGTAGTGGCACCGTGTCAGTGTCGAGCCATCACTAGCATCGGAGGAACAACGGAACATCGGAGCTCCCCCAGGCGGCGGAGAGAAGCGTCATCGGCCGAGAGTGGACATGGCGCCAATTGACTGCTCAGCTCGAACTGTGGCGCCACCACTGACCTAGGCCGATCCCCAAGGCGTTGGCCGTAACTGGGCCATGCTGTGACAGCTGCCGACAGCTGCAGACAGCTGGTGACAGTGCGTGTCATACGCACATCCGCCAGCTGCTCCCCGTGGAGGACACACCCGTGCCCGCTCCGCCCGGTACGACCAGCCGGCGTGTGCCAGGCCACACAATGCGCTGACGCAACCTGTCACAACGGCCTCCGGTGACGACCTGTCAACGGCGGACCTGTGACGGACTGTCAGCGCGGGCGGGAGCGGCAGAGTGTCGGGCACATCTGTCCAAATCTGCTGCCGCGCCGCGCCCCCCTGACGACCGCTCAGCTCACCATCCTTACCGCTGATAACAGCAAAGCCGCATAAAGAAGCCTGTATTTGCCGGTCGGCTTACGTGGCCCAGGGCTGAATGAAACATAAAACCGCGGCTGGATTGCTCAGGAGCGCTATCGGCACAATCACACCATGTAGTGTTTTTAAGACGGCTGATGAGCGTCAGTGACATCACCTTCCGACCTCATTCAGACCCGGGGGCCGGTCTGCCGCGCTGAGACCAGTAGGGGAGAGTGGGGTAATTTGGCCGGTGGTGTAAATTGGCCGCCCCCACCTGTACGAAAGCTGATAAAAGTGAATGAAATAACTTTATTCTCTATTCATATGTCATCGGCAGAACTAACTCGAGAACAAATGTCAAAACTTTCCCCCTCTTAGTTTTATTCAAAATTAATAAAAGGTGAATTTCGTTAGAAAATGGTAACATTTACTTCTGTTTAAAAACTTGTATAACATGTAGTATTTGGGCTGTAAACGAATTCCAACATTATAGCGCCATTTTTGAGGGTGTTCAGCGGTTCCAAGAGCAATTTCATCTAGTTCTGTACGGCCATGACGACTTTATAGACAAAAATTTTCAGAATGGCAATGTGGGGTTATTTGGCCGGGACTAGCGGGGCAACTTGGCCGGTGCGCTCAGAGTCACTATGCTGGGACGGCCGAGTTGTCATGGTCAATGATACCATAAAGGACATAATTCATGACCAACTTTGACTACCTTGATGCCATATTTCCTATTGGACAGCTGTAGGGGCATGTGACGTCATCAAAGGTTACCTAACGCTTTTTTGCTAATAAATACTTACAGAAAAAAGATACAGCCGCGCAAATGGTCTCATTGTGTTCAGCTCGTCAAGGCGCATCGAATGATATACATGATGACCTTGAACTCACGTAACCTTGAGGTCAAGCGACCTGACGTAACGTGACCTGAAGCCAACCTTTGACCTTGACCTCTCGAGATCAATACATACATGTTTCGATGCGGAATGACGAGAGAATTACGATGGTACTTTTAGTTTTGGCCTAGCTTGATAACTTCAAAAGCTATTCGTAAAAAAACAGTCATCGTATCTAGAGCCGCTATTTTGACTATTTTCGACCCCTGTGACGGCTGAGTCAACCTCCAAAATGCTTCAAATGCGTCGTACGACACGCGTCATTGCTGAATATGAAGCTGACTCGCCTATAACAAAAATCATGTCCTCAAACTAACACCGGCCAAATTGCCCCACACCCCCGGCCAAATAACCCTGCTAGTGGGGCAATTTGGCCACAGTGACTGGTCGCGTGGCGCGGCGCGGCGTGGCGGATAGCGAACCCCCGCTTTTAATTAGAGTTCAAAGCGAATTTAAGTAGATAAGCTGGTATTGATATTTGATTTGATATTTGATAATGTCGGGGAGAGGCAGACCCCGAGGCGGCGGAGGAAGACCAAGGCGAGGCTCAAAATCGCAGGCCTCCGATAACCGCGGCGAGGATGACGCAGCGTGGACGTGTGAGGGGTGCAAGGTGAAATTCACAAAGGATGACAGCAAGCTCCTGGTTTGTGATTACTGTGATCTCTATTTTTGCACCGATTGTGTCAACCTGTCAGATGAGCAATATGAGATCATCTCTGCTGTACCTGGAACATGTTGGTTCTGCGCTGCCTGTCAGAGAAAGGCCAGGGACTGCATAAAAACAGAAAAGCAGATAGAAGAACGTTGTGCAGAGTACTGCAAGAAAATAGAGGCTAGATTAACAGCAGCAGAAAATAAGATCGAGGAAAAGGTGTCCACAGAGGAAGTTCGGGTTCTCATCAAGGAGGAACTCTCGACTCTGGACCGTCGATGCTCTGAACAAGAAGACCTCAAGAAGGTCACCATGGCTCTAGCCGAACATCAGAAATACCTAGAAAGCCTTGAAGCCCAGAAAAGAGCCTCAAACTTGATCATAACTGGGGTCCCAGAAGACGAGATGGTAGTGAACGGTGACACTCTTGCCTCGGATCTGGAAAAGTGCTCGGCTCTGCTCCGCTTAGTCGATGAAGACAGGTCAGTCATCAAAGACTTGTCTCGGTTAGGGAAAGAGCCTGCCCCAGCTGGCTCGGGTGAAGCAAGACACCCAAGGATCATCAAGGTCCAACTGAACAATCCTGAGTGTCGCACAAGGATTCTGAGGAAGAGTAGTAACCTGAAAGAGGCAGGCCCCTCCTTCAACAAGATCTACATGAAGAAGGACATGCACCCCATGGTGTCCAGGGAATTCCAGAGGCTAAAGAAAGTCACTAGAGAAGAGAAAGATAAGCCCGAGAACCAGGGTCGTCAAGTGACCTATGACCCAGCAAAGCGTCAAGTGCTGGTGGACAACGTGGTGGTTGATGAGTTTCGCCCAACCTTTTTCTGAGACAGTGGGGTGAGTCACAGTCTGTCTTTCTTTGCCTGGAACATAAATGGTAATGTGTCCAAACTCGAACTCAATTCTGTGTTCAGCGCTTTCAGCCCATGTGATATTGTGATTCTCAGCGAGCTCAAAACAGAGTACAAAGTAGAGGCACCTGGTTTTGTATCAGTGCGCAGCAGTGTAGTCAAGGATGAAAGTGCTAGGGGTGGCGTGCTGGTGCTTTTTAAGAATTACCTCTGGCCGAGAGTTCAGATTAGGCATGTGCTGAAGGACCAGGTGTGGTTCCAGGTCCACCCTTTCAACATAACATTTGGTGCATGCTACATTGCTCCATCCGATTCACTGTTCTTTGATCCAGCTGCACTGAGCCACATCCAAGAAGTGTGTTTAGAAGGCGAACATGATGTGCTGATTCTTGGTGACTTAAATGCTCGGCTTGGTGATCTGTCCCCTCATGCTGCCCTGCATCGATACTCCCATACGACAAACCCTGATTTGCTTGTTAACAGCAACGGCAGGCAACTGGTCAACCTCTGTAAGAGTTGTAATATCGTCCCAGTGAATCACCTTGTGTGTCCACATGTTGTGTGCGATGGCGGCCTCACATTCAGGCGAGGCGGTAACTGGGTCTCTCAGCTCGATTGGGCACTCATCTCAGACACACTAGTGAACTCTATCAAGGGGTTTAAAATCCTGAGAGATGCAAACTTGCCCTCAGACCATGCGCCAATCATTCTGCAACTGAGCCTCCCTACCCACCTGTCTTCAGCAGTGCTGCAGAGGGCCCAGAGACTGAACGACGACCGGGACGAGGCAGTCGCGAGGAGTACTCACGAGGGTCGCAAACCAATTCGATTTCACAGCGTTAATGTAGCCACATTCTCGGGGATCTTGCCCGACCCCACCGCTCTCATGACCACGTTGGAGGATTGTCCGGCAGACATGTGTGCCGCAATCTCAGACGCGCTGTACAGCGCGTGCAGATCAGCCAGACAGTCCCCCCGCTCACAAACCCAACCTCGGGGCCCACACAACGCCCACGAGCGATGGCTCAGGCTTTTGGATCGGAAGGACCACCAGGGGTTATGGAACGCCATTAACTGGAAAGGAGGACTCGTTTATAGATCTTCTCAGCCGTCGGCCACCCCCTCAGAGCGTGATTTTGTTGTACACTACAGGGCGCTTCTGAACAGCGATTTCACGGAGAGTGACGAACTAGTCTGCCCCGATGAGGGAACTTATTGTCCCGTCCTGGATGACCAGATCACTGAGACCGAAGTCTGTCGGAGCATCAGTAGACTGCGCACAGATAAAACTCCGGGTCCGGACGGGATCCCTCCGGGCATCCTGAAGTTCGTCCCCCCTGCCTGGGTACCCCTGTTGGTTTGCCTCTTCAACGTGATCTTTAGTGGCTCCTACCCGGCTCAGTGGCACCTGGCCAAGCTGTGTAATATCTTCAAAAAGGGAGACTCTCGCAACCCAGCCAATTACAGAGGCATATCAATTCTTGACGCCATGTATAAAGTGTACGACGGCATTCTCTCAGAGCGTTTTAACTTATGGTTTAAACCGGATGTAGAGCAGGCGGGGGCGCAGGCGGGAAGAGGCTGCCAAGAGCAGCTTCTGACCCTTCGCCTTTTGATCGACATCGCAAGGAAATCCAAACAAACCTTGTATATTGTGTTCGTAGACTACCGTACCGCTTACGATAAGGTGAACAGACAGTTGCTGGTCGATAAACTTGCAGCGGCCGGTTGCGGTCTCAGATATCTTCGAGCAATCACACAGACTCTTAACCAGACCATAAACATGATAGGGGATGATAGTTTCCGAGCCACTACGGGTGTTAGACAGGGTGGTCTGACTAGCTGCTCCCTGTTCACGTTTTATATTAACGATACGATCAGAAAATTGAAAGAGCTGGGTCCCGATGGATTCTTAGGAAACCTCCACTCTCTGCTACTGATGGATGACACTGTAATTTTTGCGACCTCCCGCTGCAACATGCTACGTAAATTAGAAATTCTCATCAGCACTTGTAACGAGCTGAACATGCAGCTACATCCAGATAAGTCCAAATTCATGACGGTACACACTAGAGACACAGAGCCACTCGCGGTTCACAACATTGCCATCCAGCATACCAAATCATACGTGTACCTCGGTTCTCCGATTTCGAACGCCTCGATTCACAAACAGGTCAGCGAGCAGATGGAGCTAAAGCAGTGTCAGGTTAGGAAGTTCCGCAGCTTTCTCCGGAAGAACAATGAGGCTCCGTTCACCGTAAAGAAGGCCGTGTGGGACAGCGCTCTTAACGCCAGCATTCTGTACAGCTGCGAGACGTGGATGACAGGCTCCCTTAAGCCGGTGGATCAGATGTACCAGCACACGCTGAAGGATCTGGTCGGGGTACGGTATCAGACCCCGTCTGATCTGATTTATGTCGAGACCGGCATCCCACCTCTCTCTGCTAGGGTAGGCCAGATGCAGCGAAACTTTCTGATGAAGCTCCAAGCCAGCACACACTTTGAGGGTAGCCCTGTGCAGAAGGCCATCGAGCTCGCGCGCGTGCATGCCTGCCCCATGGGCCAGTATATTGAGAAGCTTCTGGGCTCCCCGCACCTGAGCTCACCCGTGGCCGCTCTATCCGAGGTGAAGGCGCGCATCAGGGGTGCGACAAACGCCAGAGCAGTCGCGTACAAATCGATAAATCCCTCACTAGATGCGCAAATTATCTACCAAACAAAAACGTCTTCACACTCGCACACATTCGAACCACACCGGCTGGCGTTCTCTCGCCTCAGGCTGGGCTCACACCGCCTCCGGGTCGAGACGGGGAGATGGTCTCACACGCCGAGAGACCTACGCCTATGTTCGTGTGGTCCGTTCGTACAGGATGAGGATCATGTCATACGACAATGTAGGCTGACACGCAACGTCTCAAGCTTTAACGAGGCCGATTCCCTCCCCGACGTTCTATCAATGTACACGAATGTTAATGCCCCGAAACTCTGTTACGACGTCCTTAGAGCCTTCATGTAGTGTCCGCCGTTTGCCGAACGTCTCGTCTGTATTCATCGATTGCCGATTGTGCGTTATATGTTGCTTACAAATATCTAGGCCCGGAGTCGAGATGGTTCCGACTTCCGAGGTCCCACGGGCGGTTAGCCTGCGCCGCGCCGAATCGCTAGAGATCATTGATGGACTGAGGGTTGTTTTTAATGTATTTTTTTTCCTGTCTTGCTTGCATCGTTTTAATGTGCCATGTTTGCGTCTGTGTCTCTCCCCCCCCTCCCCCCCGATACCCAAGGTCAATAAACGAATGAATGGCCGCTTTGCAGACCTTTGTAATACGTCACAATTTCAATATAAGTAGTTACTCTATCATTTCAAGTTTACTGTCCAAGAAAGTAAAATGTATGCCACACCTGTCAGCGTTGAGAAAATGCAGAAATGTGTTGTCGATTTTTAGTTACATCGTTTCCTAAAAAAAGCGGCCAAATTACCCCACTCTCCCCTACTGACGCACGACATTTAATTGGGCTGAGGTTTCCATGGGTCGGCAAAAATACTGTAAGACTACGACATCGGTCCAGGAGTCGGCCCATACGTCATAAGCATGTGCCCATTCATTAATTGGACATTCAAACGGTTTTGGTTTTTGACTATGCCAAAGCAAAGCAATATGGAGAACTAAAAATTAGGACGCTGAAAAGGTTTTCTAAAAAGGTCGTACCAAGTAACGGTAGCACCGTGCCCTGGATTCCTGGTCCTAAAACGAGTACCTGCAGGGCAGTGACTTTTGTCTGGTCCCTTGTAACATGCCTCCGCCCCCTGAGCATTTTCCTGTGACGCGATTAGCTCGTATACCTGATCTCATCCCTAACTTCTGACCCTACTTACTTTCCTTTGTGACCCCACTGACTTATGACCTATGAGACCCAACTGACCTCCCTGTGACCCCACTAGCCCTCTCTGTGACCCCACTGACCTCCCTATGACCCCTCTGACCTCCCCTGATACCACTGACCTCCCAATAACCCCACTGACCTGTGGATCCATCTGTCGCGCTCCTCGGCGGTCCGGCAGCTGTAGTAGCGTGTGCCGCTCGGGGAGCTGATCTGGATGCAGTGCTCCTGGCCCAGGATGGAGCTGTGCAGCGGTTTGATGACCACCTCTCCGGCTCCCAGCTCAGTCGAGGACACCATGCTGTGGCCGGAGAGCAGCGACTCGTGCGAACGGGACGAGCGGAGACGAGACGGCGCCGGGCTGCGGGAGGGAGAGGGGACGGTCAGCGTGGACGACACACGTCTCTCTCTCTCTCTCTCTCTCTCTCTCTCTCTCTCTCTCTCTCTCTCTCTCTCTCTCTCTCTCTCTCTCTCTCTCTCTCTCTCTCTCTCTCTATTCTGTGGTGCTTGTAGAGCGGCAGGTGCCAGGACGGCGCCCGCCAGCGTGGGCCTGTCCAAACCTGGTGACAGGCGGTCGACCGCCAACAACGCACACGCACACAAACACACACACACCGACATCCTAACACACAGGCTCCCCCTCCCTCCCTGCGTCCACACCCACACACCACGCGCACAGCACGCGCCAGGCTCGGAGAAACTCTGCGTCGGCGCACGAAAACAGACGGCGAGTGTACTCGGCTGACATGACCCACGTGACCGGGCACGGTAGCCGGCCACTCGGGTCGCTCTCCGACCACACAATCACCGAACAAACAATGACACCGCGCGCCGACAGACCCGGTCCCGGCACACGCCGAGATCCTGCGAACCGACCGTCAGGTCCTCGGGCGACATATAGCGGCCGCTTTGAGTTCTAAGAGCCGCGGATCGGGCCCGGCGGGTTATCAGAACGGCGGGCTTCCGCCCACTCGAGCGGGATCACCACCGGATTTGATGTCGAGAGGTCGGCAAGCGCGTGCCGCCGTGGTATCCCACGCTAACCGCTACCGACAGGACGGCAGTGAAAGCGACAGGGAATTCGGCTGCAGTTAGCCCGACTGATTGTGAATCACCGCGGCGCTTGGTGAACTTGAAGCGAACGGTGTGATATACCGCGGTAGTGCTTGTATAATATTCTGATGTAACACGAGAGCATTTGGCTTGTGTCTGAATTTGTTCCGAACTAAACTGCGTGAACGTTCGCCGGTATCACTCGCTCGTCCCTTCCGCCGCAGTGCGTATATCGTTTCGACAGCGTCCCGGAAGGAAGCTTGAAACCGAGCTGCGGCGAAGGGGTCGTGGGATCGGCCGTCCCGGCGCTCCCACAACCCTCGGCCGTCAGCCAGCGTCGGCGGCGAGCGATTGTGTGGGTTTACTGCAGCTCTGGATCAGCACAGACTTCTGTCATAAAGTAGACGTCCATTAGAGATCAGCTTCTCAAAGGAATGCTTCGTTTATATTAGAGAAGATAATCGCAATGAAGTAGACGGCAAGAAAGGATACATCCATTTCATACGTAACGACTAAAAGCTATACGCTATGAGGACAGACATAATACAAAACCGTACCCGTCGAGCTTTGAGACGGACTCGACTTACCCTCATGAGTCACGGTTAATCGCTTCTGTGGAGAATCTCCTTATTCCAGATTGACTTAGCGCTGCCAGCTGCAGTATGAAGGAAATGCCTGGGAGGCCGACGAGGCACGATCAGCGCCTCTGATCCATCCGTCTCAGCGCCGGACCGAGCCCTCACGGCTGAACGAGTTCCGTCTGCGCGCCGAGGGACCGTCTGAGCCGCCGCGCCGCCGAGGTCCGGCAGGCTGCGTTCTGACCAACAGGTGCGGGCTCCGGCCGCCAGCCGGCCGGTGCAGCCTCTCTAACACAGCACAGCCCTGATCGGAACCAGCCACGAATTCCAGCTGTCCATTTCAGCTCCGCCCGTCCATATCGATTCCGTGAGTGGACCTCTCGGCGGCCGGCCGCATATTCAGTGAAAGTCACCGCCGTCTGCCACCCGGTCGATTTGCAGATGTCACGCTGCACTGGGTGCACACAGTGACCAGCTGGGTGCACAGTGCACAATAATACCCGTTCACCGCCATCGTGCAAACAGCACAGCACACTGAGCTATACGCAGGTATTCGGATAGACGGCGGAAAGTCCGGTGCCGGGTCTGAGTCCCGCTCCCAGCACCATTGTGTCTGGATCTGAATCTCTGTGGGAGTGCAATGATAGTAACCCTGGCCGGCCAGACTTCAGTCATCACCGGCCAGACATCTCGGCAGCGCCACTCCCCCACCGGAACTCAATCTCATCTCCTGACGGCCGGCAGATAACTCCGCGGGTCGACATGCTCTCAGTACGAATTAACCTGACATCCTATCAGCGGCACACATTCCCGTGCACCTGTCCCTCCTAATGACAGCGCGCACCTCCGCCCTACACCGCGCTGCTGCCAGCGACACTTGACTCCCGGAACTCACGGAATGTGACCGAAACTGCGCGCCCTGTCAGCGGGGGCCGCCGGGTCACGGCCGCCGTCACCGAGAGGTGACGGCAGACCGACCGCGCCCGAGGGGACGGGCGCCGCCAGACCGCTGTCACGGGGCTGCCGCCGAGCCGTGAGGTCACGCTCACGACTCACGACGGGCTCAAGGCTGTCAGTCACCGTGACACCGGTGTGCAGCGGCGGGAGGGGGCTGACAGAGCTACCGACGACAGCAGGCTGTTGGTGTGGGGCCGTTCCCAGCGTCCCAGGAGACCGGGGCCGCGGGCCGCGCGGCGCCTCTCTCCACGCCAGATTAGTGACTGCTGACATCCAATGCGCCAGACGCAGACAGCAACTCATCGGCCAGACGTCTCCAGTAACTGCTTCCCACTGCGGCGTCCTGCAGGCTCCACTCAGGATCAGCGCTTCTCGAAACCTGAGCCAGTCCCACCAGTTCCGTTATTTCCACCAGTCACCCGGTTCCGTCGTCCACCGTTTTATCAGTCATCAGAGGGCAGCCACCGAGCACTGTCGATAGTGTCGAATCAGGGAGGGTAGGGCAATTGGGGAATTTCCACTTATAAATTGACAAAATTGTGTCGTTTTCTTCGCCGTCTCGTCTGTGCCATGTTGCTAGATATAGGCCGGCGAAGTAATGCCGCCACGGCACCAACTGCACTATCAGTAGACGCGCTTATCTGCGGCTCAATCAGCCGTATACAGAGAACGATAGAGTCCCACGCGGGAGAATCACACACAGGTGTCCTCGGGCACGGCTCGGCAGCACGCCCCCGCCACCGGGGCCACGGCCACGGCTCACTGACGCCCCGCAGAGGGCCGTTCGATCTCTCCCGAACGGCCGGAGAAACTGCCGTCACGGTCACGGCGCCGGCCCAACAGCCGATGCAAATTGACCGTCTGAGCCTGCCCAATGAACAGTAGCGGCCGTAATTCATTTGATACCGCCGCCTACTGGCTACAGGTGGCCAGGAGACGGCTGGTCGCTGAGGGTATAATGGTGACATGGTGTACGGAATGGGGGAGGGGGAGGATTGGTGTCACAGGAGTCACGACACGGCGGCCGAAGTGTGCTAATGCTACAAGCTCCCGATCGATCAGACTCAGCTAAAGGGTGTCGCGGTTAACACCTGACCTGTACCCACAAAGCCCAGATGAGCAGCAGACGGCCGCAATATTAGGCACAACACGTGTTCCCAGCCGCCGAGAGCCGATATTGAGTCGGCTGACATAGCCGCCAAAAGCACAACAAGACGGTCTTATCACGATCGGCGGCCTTCAGATACCGGGAGGTGAGCGTGACTTGACCTTTGTCAACGGACAACAAATGGAAATCGCTGCGTGTCCCACTGCAAAGTACAGTTATAAATAATGACCAGTCAATAGGTTGACAAATCGCAACTCAACAGGCGAGAAGTTTTAGCGGCCCGTTTCGATGACGGACCATGCTGTGACACGTGTCGCGCAGGTAACAATGGCACAAAACAGGGGCCCCTTTTGCGCCGGTGGCCTCTGAGGTCCCATGACCCTCACGAACCGTGAAGGGTACGGCAGCGAGCGACAGCGCCGCCCGCAGCTCGCCACCACGCCCAAACGGCCCATTGTTTACTGCGCAACAAACACGGCCAAAAATTTCACAAACGGATGCAGACGTAACAATGCCGCGCGAAATTCTCGGTGGCTCGGCTCCACCAGCGCCGGGACAGTGCAGCTGACAATAAAACTACACTGCGGCCGCATCAGTGCAGCGGATGCGTGAGTCGAGCCCGAATGGTCAGAATTCCACCGGCCGTGCCAGCCGGGCTGTAAAAGTAATCGGGAAATCGAGCCTGCGCCGCACTGAGACCGTCAGTCACGCGTCAGTCCCCGAGTAAAGCCGATGCCTCGGCCCCGCGCCGACATAATGGACCTTCACTGTTCGAGAGCATCCTCGGCGTTTTACGTCCGCAGGAGAAACCATGAGCGTGCTTTGTGCATAGCACGCCCCGACGAAGCTGAATATCGGCTCAATAAAACAATACCCGGAACTTCTCAGTAGACCGGAGGCGGCGCGCCACACGCGAGAGCGTCATCCATCAGCGCGCGCACGCACACACGCACAGACACATTGACACACTGACACAGTAGCGCGGGCGTTTGACGACCGAGCTCGGAGAGATCGTCAAACTTACTGAGCCGGAGAAAAACAAACCGTGAACCGTATGACGCTCACATGGACACTATCAGATCAGCCCAGAGCGATCACCAGGCTGGAAAAAGAGCTCGGCAGAGAAAATGGGAGACGGAGGAGCTCTCCGCCGAGGCGCCTACCTGGAGATGACGGGCACGGGTCGGCGCGGCCTCCGGCGCACAGTGGCGAAACTGGGGAAACATCTCCGGTCGGAGGCGCCCACACAGCAAGTGCCGCCGCTCATAGTGCGGCCGATCCGAGACTGACCGCTCCACACGCACTCCGCGCCGTCCGCACGCACCGCCCGCGCCCCGGGAACTGCCGCCACCGCCGCTGCCGCCGGCCGGCCACGGAGGAGGGTTAGGGTATTTTTAGACGGGCCTGTCTCTCTCTCCTATTTGCTGGTCTCTCGGGGGCGGAGGGACGGTACGGAGACGGCAAACACACGGTCCCGAGGGCCAGTCAGAGGTGGTGAAGAGCACCCTCTGTCTCGCTATATCGCCCCTCCGGTCTCCTCAGCTGTCCGCCGGGCGCTGATTGACTGGTGACTGACGTGAGGACCAGCTACGGAACGGGAGGGGTACTCTGCACCAGCGCCGGACCGCAGTGCAGGAGCACGCGAGGCTGGACCGCCGACACTCAGTCTGACAGGGCTGCCGGACCACCAAGCCCTAGATGCCCGGGTAAATGACCCCAGAGAGCGAGAGGAAATCGTGCTGCGTATACAGCCCCCGGCGCGGAAGTAGTTGCAGCCGGCTGCAGTCAGTCCGCTGTTCAGCACTCACCAGGCAGTCACGCCGTTCCAACACCCCCGACGCACCGGCACACCTCCGACCGGCCGCATTCTCGGCCAACAACGGCCGGAATGCTGTAACATAATCGGATTTCGAGTGCATTTAGTCCCAGCGGGATACCTTTGGAAGGCGTTGCACCACCGAGAGCAAAAGAAGCCCCGTCACCGGCGCTGTTTTCACTGTGTGAGAAGCCCCGCGGTCCCGGGGGCGACGTCGGTAGGGCGGCGACGCCCCGGTGCGTCGGTGTCGACACCGACAGTCGGACACGGCGTGTCGCCGCGCTCGTCTTTCGGCGGGCACCCCGCCGCGAAACGGTGCCAAACACGGCGCCCCAGGCCCAGTGGCCGCGCGTTGGCCAATAGGTCCTCTGCGGACTGACCGCGCGGAGCTCTGGAGGGCGCCGGTCCACCGGTCGCCGGTCGGGCGCCCGTGACCGCCGACAACCGACCGGTGATAAATCCAGCCTATCGCTGGATTTATCACCGGTCGCACAACTACCGGACAACTACCGGACAAACGGTCAACACGCGGCGACACGGATACGGACAGAGGGGTGGCAGCAGTGAGCCGCTGATAGCGTCACCGAGACAGGTGCAGTAAGGCGACCGGCTTATACTCGGCGACGATTAAACGGCATGCATGTAGGAAGGACTATCGAGTATATAACAACACACTCGCACACTCGCAAGCAGAAGTCACACTTGAAAGGTAAGTAGCATCGATTGCTAAATTGACCGCTGATCGTTTGAAGGTTCAGTACTCACCCATCGACGTCTACGGGGTACCTCTTGCGTTCCAGCTTGGTCACGGACTTGGTTCGTTTCAGCGGGTTGCCCTTGAAGGAGCGCTTCGAGAAGAAATTCTGAAACGGATGCGGAAACACCAGTCAGTGCGCTGAAGAATCACTTATTATACTCGTATGTCCCTCACGCAGAGTGTGTAAGGACCCTCTGTGATGTAGGTGGGATGTAATGTGACAGTACGTGGGAGTGTGTAAAAGATATACCATCAAAGCCAGCCCGTGTGTGTGCGAGTCGGAGGGAGGGATGGGTGCCCCACTGTGCAGCACTGTGGGTGCAGCGGTGAGGGGCTCCTGTCGGGGCTACCAGTGGCGTCACTGCCACCGCGGCCCCCTCCCTCCCCACCCATTCTCCCACGGTTCGGACAGAGTCGTCAGACCACTGACAGCTATGAGTCGTCAGACCGCACTGACAGCTCACTCCGCCCACACTGAAAACAATTTAACCCAAGGCCCGCGAGTAAACCGGTGTTTTGCAGGTACACTCGGGGGCAGATTGATGTTCCACAACTCTTTATCCACCGGGTTCCTATGGCTCAGCATTGGCAGCAGCCGCCTGGTACCGGTAGACTGTGCCGCTTCACTTACTTGTCAAGCGGCACAGCCTACCCACACCGTATGCCACCGGTCTGGGTCGGTGGCTGGAAGGCGATGTGGGCCGCCTGTGACGTCAGCGCAGCGGTGAGGGCCGAGCCCGGAGGCATGGCTCGGGTCGGCGCGGCGCGGTGGCTGGCGAGGACTGGGGAGTGAGGTGGGGTGGGAGCACGGACCATCGCGCGGCTGAGCGAGTGTAGTTAACTTTCGCGTCTCAAGGCGCCAATTATTCTACCTAACAATTGTGCTAAAGCAGTTGTTAAAATGTCCTATCCCCAAGACAGCGTCTATCATCATACTTGCCATGCACATTACGACACACTTAAACGTGGCATTGGGACAGCCGATAGAATTTATATCACACGTGCATCGAGTTGCGGAGCTACATTGTTTTTAACAGATAAGTATTAAGGTCTTGATTGAGCTCATTGGTGTCTATTATTTCGCACAGCAATCGTCCAGAGACGTGGGAACTGGGGTTTTTGGATAGCGCGGCGTCCCAAGTTTAAACAAATCTTACTGCTCCTCTTATGTGTGGTCGCAGCCACCAATAGCAAACCGTTCCATCTAGGAACAAATAAGTCGCGCACCTGGGACGGTTCGAACCGGGTTTCTCCAACCGGTCACCCTACGACGCTAGCGTGTATCCACTGAGCTGCCGAAACCAGCGACCACCCACCGCGGTCAAACGCGATCAAATGTCACAATACTGTCATTGGCGGTCAGCGGGTCAATGTCATTTTGTTTTGTGCAGGCGAGGACCATTCTCGGTAGCTCAGTGGATGAACGCTCGTGTCGTGAATTGGCCGGTGGGAGAAGCCCGGTTCGAACCCCCCTGGGTGGCCGAGTTTTTGGCTACAAGTTGGAACGGTTTGCTATTGGGGGGCTGCGACCACATATTACAGCAACAGTAATAATCGCTTTAAATTGGGGCGTTGGCTGCGGCACTACTCATAACCCCCAGCTCCCACGTCTCTGGACGATTGCCGTGCGAAACAATAGACACCAATCTGCTCAATCAAGGCCTTAATACTAATATGTTATACAAAATATAGCTCCGCACCTCGATGCACGAGTGACATAAGTTCTATCGGCTGTCCCATTGCCACGCTTAAGTGTGTCGTAATGTGCATTGCAAGTATTATGATAGGCGCTGTCTTGGGGATAGGACATTTTAACAACTGCTTTAGGACAATTGTTAGGTAGAATAATTGGCGCCTTGTGACACGAAAGTTAACTACACTCGCTCAGCCGCGCGATGTCCGTGCTCCCACCCCACTTCACTCCCCAGCCCTCGCCAGCCGCCGCGCCGCGCCGCGCCGACCCGAGCCATGCCTCCGGGCTCGGCCCTCACCGCTGCGCTGACGTCACAGGCGGCCCACATCACCTTCCAGCCACCGACCCAGACCGGTGGCATACGGGTGGGTAGGCTGTGCCGCTTGACAAGTAAGTGAAGCGGCACAGTCTACCGGTACCAGGCGGCTGCTGCCAATGCTGAGCCATAGGAACCCGGTGGATAAAGAGTTGTGGAACATCAATCTGCCCCCGAGTGTACCCCTATCCGCAACCATTTTTAACCACCCTCCCAGGAGTACAGTAAGGTCCCATTGCAGTGTAGTCGTCCCTGCTCTCAGCGGACTTGTTCGCTGACAGCGGTTATATCCGCTCAGAGCAAGTACGACTACACCGCACTGGGACCTAGCACTACTCCTGGGAGGGTGGTTAAAAATGGTTGCGGATAGGGGTACCCGTAAAACACCGATTTACTCGCCAGCCTTGGGTTAAATTGTTTTCAGTGCACAGCCCGGCCAGGAATCGGCCGATCAGCAGGCGGGATAATCCTTCCAGGCGTCATAATCGGGCCATAAGAGGCCGGCCGAGACACGTCAGACGGTGCTGATGACCTCTGGGTGTCCAGCTGAGATCCCGGCGCTCTGTCAGCCGTCTCGGCTTAGAGCGCCATCCCTTCACCTTGATAACTTCTCCCTTCCACTTATCTACAGCTGATCTCGAACACGAGTCAATTACCGCTCCCTATACTCGTACGCCGCTGTCTCCATTGAATCCCCTTCCAGCAATGCAGACACCCGATCAGTCCTTACGGACGGAGCAGCCACGACATTCACTAAAACGTCGGCACATCACTTTCCGTCATCAGCGGACCGACCATCCGACACTAACTATAGGCCCCAGTCCCCAGTTCAGTCAACGGTCAAATTTCAGTGACCTGGCACAGGCGTCCAACAATCAGACATCACCCACCGGCCCTCCACGACACGACAGCACTTGTAAAACAGGCCGCCGAACAATGCAACACGAGCGAGTCGTGATCACCAGTGGCGACCGAACTGGGTCAACTATAGGAGGCGATTGGGCCCGCGAAGTGTGAACACGGTGGCCAAGAAGCAGGAGTGTGACACAGACTGCGCGCCCTTTACTGTCATCGTCACCGACCGATGAGGCAGGAAGGCGTCGTGAGTGATGTGAGTGGTCGCCCAAGGGAGAGCGTACAATTAGCTACATTGACATTTACCGAGCGCAGAATCCCCTCCAGTTTCAGCAGATATCATGGCGCCCATGATAAGATGGTCCCCTGATAAGACGGTCTGGGTTGCGGCGGCAGCGGGTCAGATCGTTTGGAATGCAGCGAGCGCCGGTCGGGGGTGGGGGTGGGGGGGGGGGGGAGGGGGCAGGTGCCGGAATGCAGCCGTGTGCGTCACGGCGCCGCCTGCTCTGAAGGTCGTCTCCCATGTCCTGCATCGTGCCGCGGTCCGCAGAGAACCGCACTGCAGGCCGGCGGCCAGCAGCCTCCGTTACACGGCAAATCTCCGGGAGCGGGGGCGACTTAACTCCAAATGACGTCAAACAAACGGAATCGACTTGGATTTGCTTTTTAGCTACACAACTTGCCGATAACGCCAGCACTTTTACTTTCAGGTAAAACCCATGGCGTCCCGCTCGTTCGGGTCTAAAAACGTTCCGCAGGACCTAGCCTCACTCATTCTCTCTTGCAGTCCTGCTATCTACCAAATGTTGTCACACAATTTCAGTTTTCCTTTCCGCTTATAACTGCGCGGTAGTGAATCGCAATCGGTGCGGTCTGACTCGTCACTGGGGCGGGGCGGACACAGGACACGAGACACTGACGGACACTTCGGGTGGGGCGGGGCGCGACTCGGGCGGGCGACGGGCTCCGACGGGTGCAGAGAACCGTCCGTCGCGATACCGTCACTACACACGTCGCACATAGCGCGGCGTGATACCGACCAGTCTGTGTACCTATAAACTCGCCCGGCAGGTCTGATCGGCTGTTTGAACAGCAGCTTGTTAGCCGATCATCCCGTGAAGCGGCCATAAACCAGTCGACTCTACATTGGCCCTGACCATACTGCAGTTCATAAGCGAACAGTTACAACATTCCCATAATAAAGCAGCGCCGAAACATGCCATTTATGCTAAGCAGATGGAGCTCTCATACCCGTTGGCACGAAGTACAGGCGCGGGTGTGGCAATTGGCACGCCGTAGAGCCTGAGTTGCATCACAGGCCGCCGCTGCCGTGCCACTCTGCTCACGATCGGCCCGCGCCCGAAAACTGCTCCCTTCACGGCCCATCAGCCGGCACCGCTCACAGTAACGACCTGCCCTAAACCCATCGGCGGCGAAACATCACAACTTCCTGCCGGCGCGCCGACACAAACGCCGTCCAAAGTGGCCTATCGGCGGCACAAAGCGGCGGAGGGCGCCGATAAGGAGCCGGTCGCCGCCGCCCATCTGTCGCCGCGGAGGGCACGTGTCGCGCGGCCACAGACCATCCATCAGGTCTGTTTGGCCATTAGGTGAGCGGCGGAGGCCCGGGGACGGCAGCTACACCGTGTCAGCAGGTGCTGGGAGACCGCCGGCCATCTGGCCCGGTCCGCCCGGCCGCGCCCGTCGGCCCCTTCTCCCCGCTGCAGCAGCCGCCGCCGGAGGATTACATACATTCCACACAGCAGACCAAGGGGACGAGCGGCGCCAGCGGCCATTCACGCACCCACCCACACACCTCGAAACGAGCGGGCCGTGTGTTTTGACGGCGGTCAGCGCGGCGATCACCGCACCTCTGCTGACGGACAGCACGAGCCGACCTCGGCGGGGGCGGGGGCGGGGGCGGACCACCGTCCACCAGCTGTCTCCTGCCGCCCCAGCTGCCGTCCCTGAGGGCCAGCGCCGCCGACGGCGCGGGCGGGGCGGCGAGGCACGAAGAGCCACGGGCGCGACTGGCGCACCCGACACGGCGCATCAGCCGCCGCCCACCCGCCACCGTTCATGACGGCACACCCCCGCCGACACCGACCGAGCGGTGACCTGACCCGGCCGGGGGCGCGCGGCGGATGTCGGGGCGAAAGTGGCGCGGAACAGCGAGCGATCGGTGCGGGGCCGGCGCCGGCGCCGGACGTCGCGCCCCGGCGCCAGTTTGCTCGCTAGAAAGCGGACCGATCGGCGCCAGAGCCGCCACTGGGCGTCTGCCGAGCTGGCGGTGTCGTTCCCATATTCCTCTACCGTTCCTGACCTGACCTCCCGCCACCAGCCGCGCGGCCCGTCGGCACCCGCTCGCTGCCAATCGCTGCGGAACAAGAAGAAAGCGGCAATACGAGTACACACCGTACGAGACGCCCGCCCACCGCGGTTGGTGCCTCGTGCTGCGTCGCAGTCCCCGGCCCACCGCCGCGCCGGCGTTACGGCCGGCGTCGCCTGTCCCGACCGCTCGGCCCACCGGGAGCTGTCACCGCCTGTCACCGGCACGCGCTGACAGCTGTCACCTGACCCGGTGTCGTGTGACCGGTGACGGTCGGATGACGGAGCTCGGCCACACGGAGAGCAGCGGCGCGCGGCGGTCGGTCGCCGCCGTCACCGGGAGGCAGCCCGGCCCTCCGCCCTGCGCGCCCTGACAGCCGGTGACGTCATCAGGTCCCCTCTGACGCACGTCACCTCGGGAAGGCCCACCGGCAACCGATCAGCTGATATTGAGGGTCACACAGCCGGCGCAAAGGACGACGGGCTGTCTAAAGTTGATTCGATGCCGTTTGTTCTTGAAGCCGGCAAGACAGGGAGTTGAGGTCATCATCGAGCCAGGCTGAATCCTGGCAGGGTAAGTACGACGAATGACGATAAATTCTCCGCCGCGACGATCACTCTCTCCTCTCCAGCGCTCTCCCCTGCTCGGCCGAGCAGCTCTGACAGTTCGGTCACGCCCGGTGACGACCCCAGGTCTCCGTTTGACAGCCGTCAACTCTCAAACTCTCCACTGAAACTCCCCGCCGCCGAAGCCATCAATGCCGCTCGACATTCTGCTCTCTAACGAGCCGCTCGGAGCCGCCGCTCTCCACTGAAAACGGACGGCCGATCCATGGCTTTCGAGCATGACCGAAGTTCAGAAAATCTGCTCTCGAACGCAGCGACACTTTCCATGGACTAAAGGGGCTCTGCCGCACCCCAGCTAGCTTGGTCCTGTCTCAGTCTCCTGCCAACATTTATAATTATCTCTTCTCTTGCCAGCCCGTTCCCCTAGGTGCCACTCCTATCCCGACTCGTCTCCAACTCCCGACCTTGTGACGTCAGAACAGTCCGGTGATCGGCATACAAACCGGGTCCACCGGCCGAAAACCAGTTCATGACGAGCTGGGACCAGCTCCCACTTGGACACCGGAGGCATGCCACCGCTGAGACGGACACGCCGCCGGAAGTCCTTCTGCTCATCTGCAGACGGACATGAATACAAACGGCTTAATGCCGGATGTAAGTCTCCGGTAGCCGACGGTTGACGTCGGTGGCGGCGGTTAGCGCAGATGGGTCTCTGTCTGATGAGGCCGTGTCGGCGGCGGCACCGGCCACCTGCAGGACAGGTGAGACCTCTCCTTCACTGTCCACCGACCGGCAGTACATAATACGGCGGCATATCCGGCAGGATCGTTAACCGACCGCTGTAACGCGACACGGAGACTGGCTTGTCGGCCGGAGACGGATGAGATAGACAGGCTCAGTGTGTCTTTTTACCTTCAGTGCCTACCGTTTGTCGGTCTTGTGATGACGACATGACTAACGACAATATGTCCACAATGAAAATACCACGAGGGGCGGTCACAACATCGTATGTCTCACCGGTGATTTAGTCACCACCGACGCCCATTGACGTATATCATCGTTCATCGCCCTCGTCCCACACATCATACTCTGCACTCCGGGAACGGCGCCACCCGGCAAAAGTGGGCACGAAGACATGTCAGCACGACATTTTTCAATCACGTTACAATTAGTTTTCCTCGTATACGGCGTAATTGGCCGCGCGTGGAGCGCTGGCCGGGCTGACCCAGAGAGACAGTACGTGACGTAACGTCAGCGCGCAGAGCCCAGCCGTGACAGTGGGCTTTCACCGCCGCCGCCCCGGTCCGGAGAGCGTCACGAGTCACAGGACAGAGGGGGGGGGGGGGGGTCCTGGGATCAGTGTCCTGTCTTACTGACCACCGACCGACCGGCGACCGATTAGTCGCAGTCGGAACAATCTCCATCAACACTCTGGCTGGCGAAGTCGGGCCTCTCCTCTTCTCTCGCCTACCATCGACCCTCAGACCCCTGCACTGCCGGGCGTATCCTCATTCCGACCGCCGTCGCCACTGCCGACATACTCTGACCGGTGGTGTGCTCTGGCCAGTTAGCGGCGTGTCATGCTCGTTAATTATCCCCGCGCCGCAGAAGAATGACCGCACAATGACGGCGAGACTGTTCTCCGGGCAATTGGCGACAATCTGGGCCGGGTTAGAGAGCCGGGGAGGAGGGGGAGAGGGAGAGGTCGACGGCATGAGGGCGGGGTCGATAAACTAGCCGTGCTGCGAGACACAGACACGCTGGCGGAACGGAGAGACATGACGTCGTACAGTTCGGCAGAACGAGCGTGGAAAATACCGGTTACAGGTTTAACATTCACGTCAGCTCATAATCATAACTACATAGCGCATGACGCATTAGCAACGTCAAGCTAAATACCGCGGGAGACGTACTTACAGCATACCTGTCACATCAAACAAAGTGTCTACAGCTTACCGAGTTCATTAAAAACGTAGCGTTTTCCGATGCCCTCTACCCGCAGTGCCGCGCCAGTCAACTCACAAAGAACTTCCGCTGGCTTTTGTTTCAGTGATCTGAAGCGATGCAGGACACGATCTATTGAAGGACATAGCCGGCCCACTACCGACAGTATCCCTGTCCTTCCCCGCCCTCCCTGCGTGTCCCGGTCACCGTGACTCAGGACTCGTGACCCCGTGACTCACCGTGAATCGTGACGCGCCCGGGTCGGGCCGCTGACCCATGACGGGCGTGCCGGGCGCCGAGCCGCGGCCCGCCAGACCCACCGCCTTCTCATAGGACGAGTCTGAAACGGAGGACATCATAGTTAGAGCAAATCATCATCACCAAGGAAATCATCATCACCGCTAGGGAGACACGCTATCCCGACCACGATCCCTCCCAGACGGAGAACTGTGGTTAAAACGGCACCATCATACTGTGATAAGACGGACAATTTACAGACCACTGTGACGAGCGGTTCAATAATCATACACCTGGGAACCCGGTGACACACATCTCTGCACGGCCCATCTCGGTGACCGCACGGGCTTCTTTCAGCGTAATGGTACCCTGTCGAGCCCAAGGTTCGACGAGCCCTATCGGTGATCGACCAGCCCTATCGACGATCGACAGATCGATAGTCGCAGCCGCCCGTCGATAGACGCACTGTGTCGCCGCCGATTTGAGGTCACCGATCGCACTCTGCCAATAGGTCATGTATTTCTCTGTGCTTGATCGGATTTGTCCAATTGGGACGATCAGTCGGGTCACCGTTAGTGGGTCGTCGGTGCCCCGAACTCTCTTCTTGGGCAGCGTGCCTAAAGGAAGTGTAGTGACCATTTTGACCTGCCCCAATGGTGTGGGTATGGGTGCACAGAAAGATTGTGGCACGACCCCAGCCATCTCCCAGGAATGTGCGAGGGACGCACGGCTGGGGCCGGTCGGGGTGAGTCGGAAGGATCTCTCGGCAGTGTGTGGGTGGTGTGGATTAGGGAACCCCTGCCGCGCCCGGGCGGGGTGCGTGCCGCCGCGCTGGGAGCGCCGGGCCGGCCCGGGATCAGCGGTCGAACACCTAATGACGCCAATTACACAGTTTGTATGAACACACCCCGGGAAACAGACTCGCGGGATAATCCAATCAGATACACAGGCCGCCCGCCGTGCCGTCCCGCCCGGGGAGGGCTGGGTGGTCTCCCGACCTCTCGTGTCTCCCGGGACCCGCGCTGGAGACCTGTGCAGCGGCGGTCGGGCCGTCAGCGGTCTCCGAGGCCACTTTGTCGTCAACTAACGAGCCACCGGTAGCAGCAGCTGTCCCGGGCGGAGCCGCGGCACACCACCTTATCGATGGGCCGCTACCGAGGCGCTGTCAGCCTCACCAACACAATGTCCACTAAACGCCGACCACAAACAGCCGTCTAAATGACAGACAGCCGACTGGCGGCTAATATACGGCCGGGCTGCAGCCCGTGCCTCCCGCGCCTCCCGAGCTCCGCGGCCTGCCCCAGGGCAGTGTGCTCTCGCCGTCCCTGTTTTTGTTATGGGCGGCGACACTCGTGCAAGATCTCCGCGACATCCCCGGTGTCTCACCGTATATGTACGCGGACGACACCGCAGCACTGTGCGCCGGGAACTCCATCCAGATAGCCAAAGACAGGGCCCAGAGGGCTGCAGACGCCCTTCTCGCCTGGGCAAAGAAGTCGAAGATGGTCGTTGCAGCTGAGAAGACCCAGATGCTGGTGTTGTCACAGTGGCACCGCGACGCAGTCGACTGCCAGATTAAGATGGCGGGGAAGACAGTGTCAGCCACGGACTCCATCAGCCTACTCGGCGTGCAGTTAGACCGTCTGCTCCACTTCGGCCCCCACTGCCATAAGCTGAGGAAGAAGGTCCGCCCACGCATCGCGCAGCTGCGTCAGCTGTCCGGACGCTCCTGGGGCCTCGAGGAGGACCTGCTCCGGACAGTAGCCAGCGGCTATGTCCGAGGAGCCCTGGAGCATGCCGCAGCAGCCTGGCTTCCTGCCACGCCGCCCTCCCACGTGGAACTTCTGGAGAGGGAAATGAGAGCAGCGGCGAGAGTCGTCACGGGGTGCACTCGCAGCACTCCGTCGGACGCGCTCATGGCGGAAGCGGGCCTTCTCCCGGTATCGGTGAGGAGAAGGACACTGGCTGCGCGTTTCCTGGCCAAGGCGACTGCGCTCCCCCCGGAGGAGCCGCTCCATCGAGTAGCCGCGTCGGACGCCCCGGCCCGTCTAAGATCCGTGACGGGCTGGAGAACCCTGGGACGAGAGATGTGGGAGGCGGCCGGTGTCGGCCCCCCTATCGACCCAGTATCGCAGGCGAGCGTCCCCCCGTGGGAAGTGAAGAGCGGGGTCACCATCAGCCTGGACGTGGGACCACTACCACTGAATGCGACTTCCACACAGAAGAGAGACGCGGCGACCTGTCACCTAGGTAGTCTGCCACAGTGCGCGACTTGGGTTTGGTCCGACGGCTCGGTGGAGGGAGGCATCACAAACGGCGGCGCTGGCGTTTTCATCGAGGACCCGGACGGCCAGCAGCACCTACTCAAGGTGCCGGCGGGGAACGTCTGCTCCAGCTACCGTGCTGAAATGGTAGCCCTCAGAGAAGCGCTGAAGTTCCTGCTGGACCGACAAACCCTCCCTCCTGAGCCGATCGTGATATGCACGGACTCCCAGTCAGCTCTGGCGACACTCCGGGGTGGCCCCTCTACCCAAACAACCCTCATAGGAGGAGAAATCTGGGCGGCGCTTCAACAGCTGGCGGCCCGCGGCAGGCGTACCCACCTACAGTGGGTACCTTCCCACTGCGGCCTGCCCGGGAACGAGAGAGCGGACGAGCTGGCGAAGCAAGCTTCAGCACTGGACCAAGAGGAAGTCCCCGTCGACGCCATGACGGTGTACCGCGCGGTGGCAAGGACGGCGCGGGACCAGTGGGTCAGCGACTGGCCGCGCGGATGGTACCGCAGCCTCATGGGAGCGAAGCTGCCGGGACCAGTCAGACACCTGGATCGAGCGGAGGCGGTGGATGTGCACCAGTTGCGAGCGGGGCACTGGTCAGGCTCCGCCCAGTACCTCCACCGAATCGGCCGGAACCCGTCGCGACACTGCCCGCAGTGCGAAGACGTGGACTGCCAGGGTGCCCGTTGCCCCCTGTGCAGAGAGACGGCGGATACTCCGTACCACGTCCTGGTCGAGTGCCCGGCCCTGATGGGCGCCAGGCTGCGACTCACCGGGACAATCAGACCCAACAGGGAAGAGGTGCGGAGCGACGGAGTTGTCGCGGCCCTGGCGGCCGCGTTCAGGACCCTGCAGAGCCGTCAGGCTACAGTCGACTGAGGTCGACCTGGAGGGAACAAACAAAAACAACAACAACAGCTCCGCGGTCTCGCTGGCAGACTGTCAACGCCTCCAAACGGGTTCTGCTGCACAACTGGGTAAACACGATAGCCCATCAGGGCACGGGCTCATCACACAACGGACTGCACTCAGCCGCCCAGCTGGAAAAGGCTGCCGACATGTGTTCACGCCATGGGCGCGAGCGGGGCGATTTTTAGTGGCACAACAAGCACACAAACCACTGAAAACGGGGCCGATCACCGGCGATAGCCGCATAGGGCGGCGGCCGAGTCACAACTCAATTCCGCCGCCGGTGTGAATGCGCCCACATGCCGATGGAGATCACCAACCACGTCGGCAACTTCCCCAGAACAGCATCTGACGAAAGGCAGCGCAGGAACAGGCGGCTGATGAAAGGCACGAGCCGTCGGCGCGTTTTTCGAGCGTTCGTGTTTCGTTGAAGGCGACACACTGTCGTCAGCCACCTCCAGTTTTCACGAACTAGCATCACAGGGCGTGAGGCTAAGTACGACCGTGAGTCGTTTCGGTAACACGGAACAACCATTTATCGTGTCAAAGCACTAGGCATAATCCCCCACCGAGTATCATAGTGAACTATCACGGAACGAGCATTACAAAGAACTGAGCCGTCATGAATGAGTTAATACACTTAGAAGAACACACCTCTTTTTGAAGTAAGCAGTCGCACAGTTTACGAACGTAGACGTGCACATAACTAGATTCACCAAACCACTTGTGAACACATCTGCTCATAATATCCCCGTAGCTTTTCATCTCGCTCAATTTGAACGGCCGTCAACACGGTTACGCCATCCACCCTCTCCACTGCCGCGAGAGTCAGGAACAACAGCCCCCGGACCGTTCCCACGAAAAACAAACGGACCGTTTAGCCGCTCGACTGCACATGTGAAAACACGCATCGATCTGTGGTTCCCAACGCCGTCACGAGCCGGGAACGCGGCTTGGTTGACAGAGCCACGCCTGGAACCCGGCCGGCATGCGGCACAACGCGTAACCGAACGACCCTCCAAGGTCGCATGGGTGGCCAGTGGTGATGACGACAGCCATAGCCGAGCGGACCATATGTCGGGTATGCTTACGACCTTTTTATTGATGCAGAGAAGAGACGAGCTTTCCGTCAGGTGTTTTTTTGTTTTAAGGATCTGCAAATAAGCCTAAGAGTAGGAGCACTCATGAGACATGTTGGAAATGTCAAACGATGTAACCACAACAGGTTTGTTTGGCGCTATTCATATCCCGGTGTCATCACTGTATTTGTTTTCTACAAAGTTGCATATTTCTAAAAATTGACGCTGCCCTAATCGCGAGGCTCGCGTCATGTGTCGAAGCCGGCTTAAGTGACCGCAAACCAGAAACACTGGAGGCTCAAACGGTGCTAGCTGCTAGAACCGTCCACAAGGCACCGTAAGGACCGTCCAGGCTATTCAACTAGCCCCCGCCCGAAGACGTATCGCCCGTACGAAGCGGGCAGTCCGCCATCAGTCGCGACCCACTCGGAGTGACCAGGCAGTCCATGTGAGCAGACACTCGTGGGATTTCCTTACGGCGCATGCATAACTGAGCTGCAACGTACATACGTATATCTAAACCATCTGCACTCGTAGGACGGTATCCAGCGAGGATTTCCTCGAATAGTCGCACATACTTATCGCTGTTTTACTCAAAATCACATGGCATTCGCACACCTGCGCGTGAGGTTCATCGATGCAGCCACTATGTCAATAAAGTTTCCCGTCGGTAATACAAAAATGAAAAGCGCTTTATAAACGGCAGTCACAGGCCGCTCCCGCATACAGCCGTTCAGGCATATTCGACGCAGCACATGTCAGCCTGGGTGTGTCGACAGAAAAATGCGAGTAACTTGCAGGTACTTTCGCAGGTGCCTGTTGTGATCTCACGTAATTTG